AAAAGCTTTTGGACCTGGCTATGGGAGGAGTGAGAAAAGGTTTGGAGATGCCATTTGGAGAGGCAGCCCTAGAATGCTGCCAGCTGAGTTTGGTGGGAGATATTGACTGAAGCTCAGAAGACTAGAATACTAGCAAAGACTAGGCACAGCAGGTTTCAGTTAGGAGCAAGGACTGCATCGGCAGCTGGGACCTAGGCCATGTGTGTTATGTGGTGGCAAAAACAAATTTGTCTGCATTTTGCTGATGTCCTAAGACTTCAAAGGAGTCTGAAGTTAAGAGATGCAGACTAATTCATTTGGCAGAGGAAATTTCAAGGCATCTGATGTGAGAGCTGTGGCATAGATAGGTACTATGGGTAGCTTTTAGCCAATCTACTTTGAGAATCAAGAGCTAAAGTTACAGCTAAATGATTTTAAAAGTTTTTAGTTTGGCAAAAAAAAAAGCTTTAATAACTTGAGATCTACAAAGATTAAGCAGACTAAAACTTGGCAGATTAATATTTAAAAAAGCCAAATACTTTACAAAGGGCATAGACATAGGCAAAGACTTTCTGAACATAGCATCAACTGCATAAGACATAATATTGAGAACCAATAAATAGGATCCTATCAAATTAAAAAAAAAACTTCTTCACAGCTAAGGAAATAACCAACAGAGTTAAGAGACAACCTACAAAATGAGAAAAAAGTTTTTCAGCTCTATCTTGAACAGAGGATTAACATCTAGCATATATAAAGAACTAAAACAAATACTCCTTAAAATAAAAGGCCCCATTACAAAAATGGGCAACCCAAATGAGTAGACACTTCTCAGAAGATGAAGCACAAGTGGCCAGTAAGTACATGAAAAAGTGCTCAACATTGCTGGCCACTAGAAAAATGCAAATTAAAACAGCCTCAAGATACCATCTTACTCCAGAAAGTATGCCTGTCATCAAGAAATCAAATAACAGATGTTCCCAAGGCTGCAGGAGAATGAGGAACTCTTCTACTTTGTTGATGGATATGTAAAATAGCATAAGCACTATGGAGATTCTTCAAAAAAACTAAAAATAGAATATTTGCTTCAGCTAGTATCCTTTTAGGTATCTTCCCCAAACAGTTAAAGACAGCATATTATTGGAATATATAAAAAGCCATGTTTTTAGCAGTATAATTTATAATAGCTAAATCTTGGAAGCAGCTTATATGTCCATCAGCAGAATATATGAGCTGTTATAAAGAAAGGTAAACTCGAGGCATTCATAGGCATACACCTTGAACTATAATGCTACGTAAAATAAATCCGACATGTAAGTTTAAACACCACATGGTTTTTCTTATATGAGAACTCAAATTATAAATAAAGAGCAGAATGAAAGATAAAAATAGGAAGCAGGAAAAACGTTTTCAAATGGGAAGGGGGACCAGAGATGAAGGGATGAGGGAGGAAAGGGAAGGAAAGGGGTGGGAGAAAAAGTACAATCGAAGAAAAAGTGGAAATAGAGCTTTTGCAGGTGGGAAGGGACCAGGAATTGAAAGGAGCCGGGAGAGATGGGCGGGTGGGATGAAAAGGAGTTAAGATGTGTTGTGTACAGTTACCAACTCCTCATAGTAAATTAATCATTACGTTCTGCAAACATATACTAATAAAATTTTTTAAAAAACAGTTTTAAAAAAGGAAGGTAATGGCTGGTCAGAGGAGGTGGGTCGCTGCAGGTGTGGCCCACAAGTTATGTTTCTCTCCCCCCATTTGTGGTGGCTGTCTGCTTCCTGCTGCCATGCCCTGAGCTGTTTATCCTCTGCCAGGCTGCCTGCCTTGTAGCCAGTTAGCCGTAGATTAAAGCTTCCGTAAACTATGAGCCAAAACAACCTCTCCTCTTTGAACTTGTGGAGATGGAAGGGCTGAAAAAATCTGCTTCTGCTTTTTGGTACCTCTGAGACTCCTGTTTCCAGAGTGGTGTCCATTGACCACGTGTGACTTTGGAACAATTGAAATGTGCTCTAAGCGTAAAATACACTCAGAATTTAAGCATTTGTATAAAAGAAAGTAACACAGTCCATTGATAATTTTTATATGGATCACATGATTAAATTACATACCATTTCAGATTAAATAGGTTAAATAAAAATATCATTAAGGTTATTTTCAGTTCTGTTGACTTTTTAATGTGATTGGTAGAAAATTGAAAATTACATATGTGGTTCGTATTTGTGACTGACAATGTATTCTATTGGACAGCAGTCTAATAGAGGTAAGCTGTGTGCATAAATTGCTAAGATCTATGCTTTCCTCCAGCCTTATGATGGCACTTAAATTGGGATAAATTTTTTAAAGGTAATTTGGCAACATCTCAAATAATAAAATATGCATCTGTATGCAAGTTACCTTAATGACAGAAGGAGAATGCCAAGGTTAACTTAGGCATACTTACATTTCCTTTTAGCTTTTCCCTTATTTAGTTGGGTCATGGTATGTGTGCAGAAGAATGGCAAGGACCCGTCTTTTAATGGCAGAAGGCCAGCTGAGGGAATCTGAACTCGTTTCTGAGTACTTACATGCCATTGGAAACATGGTACTTTAAGATGGTTTCTTAACCTAGTGCGGTGGCGGTAGATCTTTTAGGGATGAGCGCCCAAACTGCTACCCAACACCCACTTTTCTACAGCTAAGTGACAACACTGCAGTCAAACCCGAATACTGAGGTTTTAGTTTAGGAGAAAACAACTCATATCTTAGTAACTGTTGTCTTACAAGGAAAACAAATACTGTGTATGTCATCTGTTTGCTACCGCTGATCTAGTGTGATGGTTTATAGTTAGATGTCCCCACAAAACCTCCTGGGCTTATAAGTAGGGTTTTGGGGAATTGATTGGATCACTGGGCATGATACTTACTAGTGAGATAGACTACTGACCAAGGAGTTTGTAGCTAAATATGATTTGAGAGGTGAAGCCTGGTTGGAGGAGGTGAGTCACTGGGGGCGTGGCCTGGAAGGGTGGATCTCTGTCTTTTTTCCCTTGATCCCTGTCTTTGCTTCCTGCCTGTCAGGCCATGAGCTGTTTCTCCTTTGCCATGCTGCCCTGCCTTGAAGCCAGCCAGCAATGAACTGAAACCTCTGAAAACTGTGAGCCTTCCGCTATTATCTTTTTTTTTTTTTTTTATCGGTACCGGGGATCGAACTCACATCCGCCTGCTTGCAAGGCAGGTGCTTATGCCGCTGAGCTAAGTCTCCAGCGCCTTAGCCTTCCTCTTTTAAATTGTGGGTGTGGGGTAATGGATCTCAGCAATGAGGAAATAACTAAGACACCAAGTTAGCAGTCCTTCTAAAAAATCTCATTGTCTAAGAGTGCTGGTGTCTTTCCTTATCCCTTGAGAGTGACTAACATGCATATTTATTTTTTAAAAGAAATTCTTTTGAAATAATTGCTTTGAGTTTAGATGGTTTTTAGATCTTCCAAATCTAAATTAGTGCTTATTTTGTTCCAGGTAGCAACAGGTTCTTTATAGGAATAGGAAAGATAAGGCCCAGAGATGGGCTGATGAGACAAGAGGGTAAATTTTTCTCTTGTAGCCAATTTGTTGAAATGTGTAAAACACTGTAGTCTTCTTTTGTGTTTCATATTTCCCATACCATGAAAAAAATGCTGCTGTGGGCATGTCTTTTTAAGGACACGAGGCTAGATAATGCCCTTGGGCCTTGGAAAGATCAAATTGGTACACAGATATTTTAGAGGCTGACGCACAGAGGCCAGTCCTGAAAATGCTGGTGTGTGGTGCAGCTGGGAGGCAGGCTCAGACCACAGCTGCCTTCAATCCTAGTTCCACCAGCCGCCAGCTTTCCTTCTGCATTCCAGTATCTCAAGATTAATAATTTTACCTCTAATCTTTTGACTTTGCTACTTTTTGCTTTTCCTTTATGGTCAGGTAGGCTAACTTTTCCTCTACTCACTATGTTCATGCTCTGTTGCATGAACTTCTTTTTCCCTACCTCTATTCTTACTCTCCTGCAAAACCCAACCCTTTTAAAATTAAGGTTATGAGGTGTAGGTGTGCTTCCCCCCAGTAGATGAGCATGCATGCAGCACACACACAGCAATTTAATGGTGACGTTAAATTGATCATCCTGCCCTCCACCCCTAGTAAATTCATTTTCTAACTCTCCAGAGTGAGACCTTTCCCACCTTTATCTCTGTCCTTAGGTCTACGATTTTTTTCTGTCTGTCAGCTAATGATCTTACTGAATATATATATATATTCCATATATATATACGAAACTAAAAGCAATTGGAAAAGACTTACCAAATCCTCCAGCATCCACCTATCATTCTGTTTCCCTGTCCCCTGTTCTTTACTGTGGATAGATTCTTAGTCCTCCTGGCTAAGATCCATCTCACCCTCATGCATCTGACTATAACATTCTATAATATCTTTCTTTTAAAAAGATACTTATTTACATTATGTTAAGTGAGATAAGTCAGGCACAGAAAGATAAATATAAGCATGTTCTCACCCATGTGTGCAAGCTAACATGTTGAGCTCATAGAAGAGTAGCATAATGGCTTTCTGAGCCTGGGAAGGGTGTGGGGGAGGAAGGATGGAGGAAGGATGTTTAGTAGGCACAGGGGACAGTTGGATAGGAGCTCTAATGTTCTGTAGCACGGAGGGGTAATAACTATGGCTGACAGTGATTAGTAGTGTAGTGTTTCAAAATAGCTGGGAAAGTGGATGTTGAGTGCTCTCAGTACAGACTAATGACAAAGGTTTGAGAAGTTGGCTATTTCAGTTATCCTGATTTGATCATTACACATTGCACACATGTGTTGAAATGTCACACTGCACTGCATATTTATAATTGCTGTGTATTAATTAATGATAAAATACTTTTAAAAATAACTCCTTTTCTTCTCAGTTCCCCTCTACTTTACCTCATGTCTCTGTTCCATCTTTAAAACAAAACTCTTTGAATAAATTACCTCTTCTTACTGTCTCCAATTCCTTATCCCACTCTTTCCCCCAGAATATCTTATCATGGACATTTCAACTGCATGAGAAAGCTGACAGATTTTAAAGTGAGTATTCACAGCCACTACCTTGGTTCTACAATGAATGTTTTGCTTGATTACTCTGGCACTCATTTTGTCATCCATTCCTCTTCCCTCTATCTTTTCATCAACATACTTTATGTTTTAGACACATTTTAAACTATCAGGCATCGTTCTCTATACCCATTCCCTGTACTTCAGTGTACATATTACTAATTTATATTCGGTATTTGTTTATAGTTCTCTCCTTTGTAGTAAAGTTTGTATCCACAGAAACGTACAACTCTTAAGTGTATCATTTGTAGTTTTGATGAGTGCATGCACCACCCTGCAGTCCAAGCTCTCCTGAAGTAAAGAACGTAGCCGTTGTGACAGAGAGGTTCCTCTGGGTCCTTCTCAATCAGTCCTCATACCGCCCTCCTATGTCCTTCCAGAGGCAACCACTGTTTTCAGAACTCTTTGCCATACGTTATTTTTTGCCTTTTTGGAAGATTATAAATTTACAGGTTGTCACCTGTAATCTCAGGTGTGAGACCAATCAAGGATTCTAAATTCGAGCCCAGCGTGGGCAATTTAGCAACATAGTGAGACCATTTGAATGAACAAATGAATGAATGATAGTAACATAGTGAGACTATTTGAATGAACAAATGAATGATAAACAAGCACAAAATAATTAGAGATGTAACTCAATATGAAGGCCCTGAATTCAGTCCTTAATACAAGGGAACAATAACAACAACAACAACAAAATACAGTATGTCCCCTTTTGTGCTAAGCTTCCTTCATTCAGCATAGTGTTTTGGAAATTCATGTCATGTGCATTAATAATTCATCCCTTTCTGGAGCTAATTATCATTCCATTGTTTAGCTATACAACAGTTTGTTTACTCCCTTTTCTACTGATGAATAGCTGAATTGTTTCCCCCTTTTGGCTATCATGAATAAATTTGCCATGAATAAATATAACTCTGTGGATGTATGTTTTCTTTTCTCTTGGGTAAATACTTAGGAATGAAATCACTGAATTGTAAGGTAGGTTTATGTTAGTTTTATGAGAATCTGTGAGAACTTTTCTAACATACTTGTGATTTTACACTTTGACCAAGTGTTTGAGAGTCCTCTGCCACATTGCCTCTGGTGGTCTGTTAGTGCTAACCTATTCGGAGAGGGATTGGAGCAGTATCGCACTGTGTTTCTTACTTGAATTTCCTAACGAATGTTAACATTGACCACTTTTTCCTGTGCTTATTGACTACTAGTTTATCTTCCTTTGTAAACTGTCTGATCAAACATTTTGCCCTTTTTTATTGAATTATAGGCATTCATGACTCTACATAGCAGTCTTGTCAGGTCTACAGTTTGCCTGTGTTTTCCACAGGTTATGGCTTACTTTTCCATTTTCTTTTTGGCAGTGCTGGGGATCAAACCCAGGGGCTTGTGCATGCTAGGCAAGCCCTCTACCACTGAGCTACGTCTTCAGCCTTTTTCATTTTCTTGACGTGTCTTTTGGTAAGTAGAAATGCTTAATTTTGTTAAAGTTTAACCTCTTACGAATGTTGCCTTTTGTGTTATATTTAAATGCTGTATAGTTTTAGCTTACATATTTAGGTCTACAGTCCATTTCAAATTAATGTTTGTGTATGATATCAGGGTTGAGATTTATTTGTTTTTGCCATATAGATACTAAGTTATTTTGGCATCATTTGTTGAAGGCCTTTTCCTTTTTTATATTCTGTGTAACTTTTGTGAAAATCATGATTTTTAAGTATGGGTCTGTTTGTAAGTTATCTTGTGTATTAACCTATTTGTTGATTCTATCTCACTACTGCACTACCTTGATTACTGTAGACTTACTATGAGATCTTGAACAAAGTATACTTTTTAATGATTAGTTTAGCTATTTTAAGTACTGTATACGTATTATTATACAGATGTACATGTATAAATCAGTGTGATTTTACAGTAGTCCCTTAGTTCATGAGTGCTTTTGCTTATGAACAATTTGGTTCACAAACTGAACCGTTTGGCAGAATTTTGTTTTTGTTTGTACACTCTGCATCGGGTGATGAACATGGCCATGTCATCCTTTCCAGAACTGGAGCAAATTAAGTTTGTGAACTGAGGTACCACTGCATTTGAGGTCAGCTTGTGGAGACCAGACAGGTGAACAATGTTTAGCCTTTTAATTCATGGATGTAGCATATCGACTTTAATTTCTCTCCATGGTGTCTTACAGTCACAGACTCATTTGAACTCAGTCTTTAGAATTTATGCCTACAGTTTCCCCGGAGCCACGCCATTTAGGCTGTCAGTGACCTCGTACCCAGCATTCAGTTCTCCATCTTCCTCTTTCTCCATTTCCTCAGCAAGCATTGAATAGTCGGTGGCTCAATCTTGAAAACATTCAGTCACCTCCTCCTTGTGTCAGTGTTCTTCTAGTTTACTTCCGTCTCGCCAGAAGGCCATTGTTGGTGTGCTTTACTGGATTCTTTCTTGCTGATGTTTAAATGTTAGAGACTCCTGAGCTTCCGTCCTCAGACAACTTTCTGTGGTCCACCTTTAGTCACAGTCTCCTGGTGAAAATTTTATTTAAGCCAGCCATCCTGTTTAAAGCCATCTGACTCTCAATTTTATATCTCAGTCCCGAGTCCCAGAATTATGGGTTCATCTTCCTCCTGATATTTATTTGGACTTCTGAAAGAGCGCTCAAACTTAACCTGTGCAAAACCACACTCTTGATGTGTCCGTAAACACGACTGCTCCTCCTTATCCCCCAGTCATAGCATTTTATCCCTGTTGTTCATTTGCCTATCTTGGAGTCTCCTGCACATCTCTCTTTTACTCTCTACATCACAGAAGAAAATTTTGTGGGACCTTTTTCTTCAGGTTTCTTGCACTTGAATACTGTCTTCCTCTGTCACCTGGAATACTTCAGTATTCCCCTAAGTAGTGGGCTTTCTCTATTCATTGCCTTCATCAGTTTGAGTAGTTAAAAAAAAAAAAAAATCACAGTGTTCCATACCCTTTTTAAAACCTTTCAGAGTCTTTCCATCATATTTGGGAAAACAGAACTGCAAAGCTGTTCAGGGTGCTCAGACCTTCCTGCTCCTTCTCTGACTCGGACCCCTTCTCTGCCCTTCTGTCACAGCACCCTGGCCCACAGGGCCCTTTTGGTTGCTCTTGAACAAGCCGAGTTTGTTTAGGCTTCAGGGCCTTTGCTGTCTGCTTCTTCTGCCTGGAACCTTTCCCCAGATACACGTAACCACGGGGCTTGTTGCTTCCATCCTTCAGTCCTCTGGTGAAAGCTGTGGTCCCCTACAGGCCTTTCCCGACCGCCCTGTCTCAGGAATGCGCCTTGCGCCTCCCCCATCCTGCTTCAGTGCCTTCCTCTGCTTTGGTTTGCTTAACAGCACCTAGCGGTATCTACTTCTATCTTTATTTGTTTAAAATGTTTATAGTCTCTGATGCACAAACAGCTCCTTGAAGATAGGGGCCATCTGTTTTTTGTCCAACAAAGCCTGCCACGCAGCAGGTATCCAGTGAACCTGTGTAGAATGAATAATGTTGGGTAGCTAACCTTTTGGCCCAATTTTCTTCCTCTGAGAAATAGAAAAAAAAATGGTATCTATCACAGGGTAGGTGTGAATGACAAATAAGACATTGGGTGTAGTAGATTGTTGCTGTTATGGAAATTAAATTTCTTACAATAAGTCAGGGCTGGGGATTTAGCTCAGTGGCATAAGCGCCTGCCTTGAAGCATGCGGTCGTGAGTTTGATCCCTGATACTGATAAAAAAAAAGATTGCTCATTTTTTAAAAGGTATTCTCCTCTGATGTGATATTGTTGTCATATTAATAAAAAATAATAAATCAACATGAATCCATATGTCATAGAATTTCTTTGTAATTTACTTTTTTGTATCGGTCGATTTCAGATAGTTACTGATTTCTTAGAGGAAGTAAATATAAGCATATTATAGTCTCTGATTCAAGAGTTTGACTTAAAATTTTTTGATTTTATGATGGTGTGAAAGCTTACCCATTTTACCTTTTCATTGGCAGGACAGTAGTAAATAAATTGCAGGAGAGAGTGAATACTTCTTTTTATAAAATATGTCTTTTGTTGCGTGATTTCACCAAGCTGTGGACTAATTTTACATGACCTGAACACCTTCAATGTAGGCTAGGGTAAGTTATGATGTTCAGTAATGCGATGTATTAAATGCATTTTTGATTTTTGATATTTTAATTTCTGTATAACAGCATGTAAGCCCATGGTAGGTCCTGGAGTATCTGTTATATGGAAAGTTAAATGTGATGGCATATTTAAGTAGCCAATTCAGGCAGCAACAGAGAAAACAGCATAATTAGTTGTCTAATGAATTGCTGCTGCTTACTGTTGTAGATATGAAGTGATTTTTAAAAACCTGGGAGCTCTGAGAAGATTTTGGGAGCTCATGGGTCTGGGCTACCCCTTGATGGGCTAATGAGGAAGGGACAGGATGTCCCCAGGTGGGACAGTGGCACAAACCTAAAGGAAAGGGAGAACCAAGTGGGCTGAAAAATAGAATTAATTGGTTGTTGAGTGTGTGGAGGATGGTTTGTGAGAGAATCAGGGAGAGCAGTGCTAAGAAAACTGGACAGGACTGGAGCAAGCTGCTTCAGGCAGGGGACCTCCTGGGGCAACAGGAAATGTCTCCTTACAGTGGGTAAGGAGGAAGGAAGGCATGGCTTCTGGGGGATCAGTAAATAAGGCAAACTGTCCTGAGGTCACTGCTACTAGTTCAGTTCCCTCAGCCAGCCCTGGGTGACAAGCTTGCTTTGTACAGTGGCCACGTTGGTGCAGAGCAGCAGCAGCTGGAGGACCCGGCCCACCTGTTCCTGAAGCCTAAAAAGAAACCAATTTTGAACTTTCTTTGTACGAGTATTACTCCTGTAAGGCTGAGGAGATAGCTCAGCAGCATAGCACCTAGGCAAGCATGAGGTTGTGAGTTTGATCCCCAGAACAAAAAAAATTATTTTAGCTTTTTAGATGACTTTGACTAAAGTAAGTGATGTTTTCACGGTGTCTCTTTATTAAAGAGAAAAGAGTAGAGAAAAACTTAGAAGTTAAGTCAGTGAGTAAATGTAACAGCTTACACTTTAGCGCACATGTTAACATATTAGCAAAGACTCTTCTTTGCTTTTTAGGAGAGCATATTGTGTCAGGTAAGTTACAGAAAGCTAACTTCTCATTATTATGTAAAAGGGAATCATGCAATATATGGGAAGGGGGCAAAGCACTCTGACCAAATTATTTTAAAAAACGTTAATCTGGTCAGTTTTGTGAAAAAATTTGCTTGACATCCCACTGTTTGAAGTTACAATTATCTAAAGGGAGTCAGAACATGCTTAAATGTTTTGTGATTACTAAATTTCAAGATGTTGTTACGTTTTAGAGGATTGGATTTCAAGGCAATTTGTAATAATTAAGGAAATAACTGTGCAAAGAAGAGAAGTAAAATAAAATATATAGACACAGGCCATGGCAGATGTTGCAGAATAGGGAGTGGATGGGAAGACAATAAATGCCATTGTCATTAACACAGCCCTAGCAGCATGTGTCACAGATTAAATAATGAGTGATAGTTGTTGGACACAGCGAGGAGAGAACAGAGAGCTGTTGTGACACAACCTCATTTAATTTCAAACTATTTGCTTAAATAAAGGCTCTGTTTTAGTTATAGATGATGAAAAATTGAAAAGTTGATATATTGTAAATCTTTGAATTCACCCTGAATTACCAATGAAAACTTAATAAAAGAGCTTTGAGTGAAGAATCTTGTTCAGTTGTGAACCTTGTCTGCAAAGAGAAGCCAAAGCCAAGGATGGTTCGGTCCTTTGGCTCTGGTTGAATGGTGCCTTCCTCTATGGGTGAGGGTCTAGCTGGTGTGGTCCCAGGGGCCGGCTTTTCCTTGCTCGTGTTAGAGTGGGTGACAGATGTTCTCATGTGCTGAGGCTGGCCCAGTGCTGTACTCTTATCGAATGCGTGCTGAGGACCAAGGGAGATTGGGGTGCCTGGCTTCTCCCACTCTGGGTCACCATGTATACTAATGAGCAAGTGCAGGAGTAACATTCGTTACACAAAAGAAGGGCTTACTGTTTTTATTATTTTAGGGTGTGCAGTCAGGGGTAGGAAAGAACACAGGTCAGAAGTCCTGGGTTTGAATCCCAGATCTGAATGCTGGTTTCATCTGGTACTAGGCCCCCTTCTCTGAATGCCATTTTAAACAGTCTTTTTGTTGCTTTTCTCTCCTACCCTTAAATCAGATATTCTACATGTCTTTGTGTAGTATGGGATCTCTTTGACATTCTAAGGACACTAATGCATTCCTTAAAAGAATAATAATATTTACTACAAAAAATTGAATAAGATTAAAATGCACAGGATCACAAAGAACAGTTATACTGGCATACAGTCATAAATACACTAAGCAGTAAATATGTAATACTGGACTACACCTCCTTTGTTAAAAGGTGTTACAAACCATGATCTAGTGGCAGTTCTAATAGCTACTATAATTTTGAAGTAATACTGAATGGAAATGATATTGAGATATTTGCAACAACTGTAATGAGATAGGATAATATTTTTGACTTCTGTTAGTGACAAATCACAGAAATAACCAATTTTGTTGCATGTGGCTGCCTTCATTTGAATAGAAGAAAATACTTAATTTTGGTTAGAGTTTAGTAAAAATAAAAATAAGCATTTCCTCACCTACATCCTGAATTCTAAGATTGTCAAAAAAACCCACTGCCTGAAAACCTTAACCTTTCCTTCTGTGTTGTGCATTCTCCAGGGTGAAGTCTGTACCCCCTGACACTCAGCTGTGCTGCCCCTCCCGAGCCTGTACTTCTGGTGTCCACCTCCCACGTCCAGGTGCAGGACTTGAGGCCCGCTAGACCCTCCCTCACTAGTTCACTGGGCCTCCAACCCAGCCTCTCAAAGCCAGAAGCCACCTCCAGCACAACTCCTCTCTTTGTGATCCTTGCTCTGAGAGGACATTAACAAGCACTGGGTGGTGGGTGTCGCAGGCCCCAACCTGGCTCACGGCAGAGCTAGAACAAGCTGCTCCAGAGTTACTGCCCTGGCCTCTTTGGTGCAGTGTGTGAGACAGTACAGCGGGCATTGTAACATATCACTGTGCCTGTTTTTCCCTTTATCTAGGATGTCTTATGAATTTCTTCTTATCTAACAAGCCCTAGATTCTCCTCCTCATCTTTTCAGCATGCTCCTCTGGTACTCTCAGAGTTAGAAGTTCTTGGTGATTTCTCTTTGCCTTCTTGATGTGACATTCCAGCATTCCTGCCTTCCTCAGGGCAGGTTCTTCTGGGGGCTCCCTGGCCTCACCACCTCTCTAAAGGCCATCCCTCCAATGCACACCGCATTTCCCCGTTTGTATACTGAGCACACACTTTGCCTTGGAACAGTTGTGCCAAGTCTGGGTTCTATGGCTGCTTTTCTGGGGAGCCTTTGTGGGGTCTATTCATAGGACAGTCCTAGTCTACATATCTCCTCCTTCCTTGGCAGGGACCTGTTAGGGCTCAGGAGAACAAGGTACTGACATTGCTGGGTGTTCAGAGACATTGGTTCCAGAATCTACTCCAGCACCAAGAGCTGTGGATACCAGGATCCATGGATACCCAAGTCCCTTATATAAAATGTGTAATGAAGTGAGCCAGGCATGGTGGCATACAACTGCAATCCCAGCACTTGGGGGACTGAGGCAGGAGGATCATTATGAGTTCAAGGCCAGCTGAGACTACACAGTAAGTTCAAGGCTACCCTGAACTACCTAGTGGGACCCTGTCTCAAAAAAAAAAAAAAAAAAAAAAGGGTGTAATATTTGTCCATGACCTACATACCTCCTCCCAAATACTTTACGTTATCTCTAGATTACTTATAATTCCTATACAATGTAAATACTTATTACATAGCATTTTCATTTTCATTTACCTTATAACAACAATTGTACAGTGTAATAGCAGTTATACTGTTAAACAGTAATTATTTGGGAGTAATGACAAGAAAAATTCTGTACAGATTAAGAACTGACATTTTTTTCTTCTAGTGTTTTCCATTGGAGTTTGGTTGACGCCACAGATACTGTACAGCAAACCAAAAGTGCTTGGTTTGGAGGAATGACTTGGGCTGTGTGGTTAGCTGTGTGGTCTTGGCAAGGTACTTTCCCTTCCTTAGACAACTTAGTTTTTCCTGTGTAAACCTGGCGTAACAATAGGGTGGTGAGGTTTAGATGAATCAGTACTTACAAAGCGCTGTAGAACCATTCCTGCCTTATAACAAGAGTATAAATAATACCTGGCCTTATTCTTTTTAGTTTCATTCTAGTTAAGTGGCTTGGACTTACTTGAAAGTCACATACTATTACCTTTGTATTTGTGCTAGGATTTTATTAAAGAGTATAGTATGATTTGGAGTCCAGTGCTTAATTGCTGCTCATCTTCATTCGGGTTGATATTAGATCTTGACTTTAGTAAATTTAATCAATGTGAGAAAAAGGGATTAATTTTGACATAAAGATAGAAATCCAGGGAACAGAGACTTACTGATATAGACACAGTCCCACTAATCTCTAGCTAAGTAAGAGATTTATCTGTATTTCTTCAATTCCAAAGATTGTGCTGACCTCACAGGAATATTTCTTGTAGTTGTTTTGACAAAAAAGAGACTAATATTACTTATCAAAGGATTTCGTTGGAAATGCAAATCCTCATATATGTTAGTAAACCACATCCACATAACAGAGGTAGTTTTGAATTTAATTACTTCTCATTTTCATGAACATTTTCATATCCTCTAGAAATATTCTACTTTTGTATGACAAACATTTTTCATAAGTTTTAACCACATACTGCTTGTGAGAGCTTAGTGTGTTCTTGTAATTTATTCACCTCTGTTTTTTCTTACAACATCAAGTAGTTAATATTTCTCTTGAGTTTTGTGCCAGTGTTCCAGCCTTCCCTGAGTTTTACCAGCAGGTGGGGTACTGGCTCCTTTTTAAGTCAGCCCATGAGGCTACTTGTCTCCCTGCTGTGATTGTCACCGCCCACCTCTACTCCAAGCTGTCCCTCTACACCTTTTTCTAAAGTGACTCTTTGAGACACTGTTGAGCCCTGACCTAGAG